AAATACTTGCATGATACATAATGCTTTGAATGATAATGTGTTTATTGTGGGTTTAGAATATACAGGGTCATAAATTAACCCTTTCATAACTGCACAACTGTAAATATTTTTGCTATAATTATTAGATTTATACAATAATAAATGCTTTTGAATTGCTTTAAAATAACTATACGAAAGCCTCCTGAACCCATTTTTGTCATCCTACTATCATTGTTGGATTAAGTGCAGGTTGCCAGATGCCATTATTAATCCTTAAAGTTTTAAATGCTGAAAATATGCTTTGAAAGACTGGCCATATTTATTATTGTTTTGGAATATGTTAGTTCGGCTGATGGTTGTCAGATATGGTCATTAACCCTTGAACATAAAAAAAAAAAAAATACATGGTTTATTTTTTTGCTTAAATGATTAGTTTGAAGGATAATTTGTATTTATTGAGGTTTTAGAATAAATGGGGTTGTCAAATCATAAATTGACCCCTTTATAAATGCACATAACAAGATAAAAATGTTTCTGAACCCATATTTGTCATCCTACTACAATTGCTGGATCAAATGCTGGCTGCCATATGCCATTATTAACCCTTTTAAATGCAGAAAAAATGCTTTGAGGTACAGACCATATTTATTATTGTTTTACAACAAAAAATGTTCAGCTGAGGGTTGCCAGATGTTGTCATTAACCCTTGAACATTAAAATACTTACATGGTACATAAAGCTTTTTTGCTTAAATGCTTCCATGATTTGAAGGACAAATCATATTTATTGTGGATTTAAGATATACACGGTTGCCAGATCATAAATTTACGCTTTTATAAATGCACTGTAACTGTAGATATTTTTAGCAAAAATTATTATAGTAACACAGTAATAATTGCAAAGAAATAACATGAAAACGTCCCCAACCCAAACTTGTCACGACTTTTGTCATTCTACTATCATTGTTGGATCAAGTACAGGTTGCCAGATGTCATTATTAACCCTTAAAGTTTAAAATGCAGAAAATATATGGTTTGAATGGTTATGGTACTGACCATATTCATTACTGTTTTAGAACGTGTTAGTCCAACTGGGGTCGCTATATACAATAAAATGAATTAACCATTACTGTGCACAATTTTAAAATAGACTTTCCAATGGAACGCCAATCGACACCAAACAACTTCCCTCAGGATCATAGGGACACCAAAGTGTCCATCCCTTTAAAAAGTTTTATTCCAAAGGGCATATGTATTAGAAATAAATGCAGAAAGAACGAGGAAATGAGTTATGAATTCTGAATTATTGTTATTAGATTGGCTGTGGGTTGCCAGATAAAATCCAGAGTATTAACCTTTTAAAAAAAAAAGCTGTCTCAGTGACGTATAATTACAGTTATTGCTAGGTAACAAAAATGATAAGCACTTTTCTAGCGAGTAATGACTGTGGTATTTAGAAACCGGTTACCATGGTGCATTTTTGTAAGGAACAACTAAGTGTAGCCTTGCCTGCATACAGCAACTGCATTCAGAGTGAGCAGGTAACCTGTCAGATCTGCTTTTAAAACGATAAGTCTGAGGTAAAGGAGCGTCTGAAGCAGTGACCCAGGATGACTGTTGTACAGCAGTGCAGGAATACCTCGCGTTCCCTCCTCACCTGAGAAAGCCTGAGGCCAAGAGCCTGTAAGACACAATTGAACACTCATCTTTAAGCAGCCCTGACAAATGATGTAATCCTGTTAGTCCAGCACTTTGTCTCAGGCAGTTCTTCATTCATGATCTATCCATGTGTCTAACATGGAGGTAAAAATCATCAAGAACACAATGTCCCCTTCCTTCCACACAAGTTCAGAGTCAATTCTTCTAAACTATCCATCGCAAGCCAAGGAAATATGAGGTGAAGTGCTCATATTTTATCTTTGTGCTGATGTAATGCTGGCTTCCCAGCGTATAATTCAATTAAAGTGATGAACCTCACACACACAAACGCTTGGAGTCAACTAAACCTGGATGATATATTGATATTGAGCAGGCACAATCTGCGGCTAAATTATTAATGCTAGGTGAATGTGAGGTGCTAAACTCTTCATCTCTTTAGTGTCACTCTTGCAGCAAGACAGACAGAAAGTCATCCTGGTGTGAGCTGTACAACACCTTTTCATTATGGCTAAATAATACCATTCGCATTTAGAAATTTACGCAATTGCATATTAGTGCACAACGTTCTGGCCTGTGTAATTTAAGTGACATGATTAATGACTGGTGATTGTCAATTAGTTTGAGTAATCACTAACACTTGATGTCTCAGAAAAACTATCTTGAGTTAATTAGCTGGGTAAAGTGATGGGGAACAATAAATGCGAAGTATAGCTTTTAATATTTTGATAAATATATGCCTTTACAAGTTCTGTCTGGTTCTCGAATCTGATTGGCTGATAGCCATGAGATATTAAAATGATATCAGCACTCGTACAACCTCTTCACCATTGTGTATTACTCCAGCCACACGAATGGCAAGCAGAGGACTAGTTTAACAAACACTGCTGCTACTGGACAACATAATGTACCTCTGAGGCATGTATAGGCAAGAATGTGGTTGTTTAACCTGCATCTATGCAGTTTATTTATGAGGATAGTGCCTATTTTAAATATTCATAATTTAGGAGATTCAGCGTGTTATGCCGAGTTCAGACTGCATGATTTTCAAAGTAGTCGTGTCACAGATGTTTTCACACTGCATGATTATCTGGGCTTGCGTTTCGTCGCTGCTTTGTTTACACTGCAAGATGGATCGGCGACAGGGACTTTCACATTGCATGACTTTACTATAGGAAGAATCGCCGACAACTTTGTCCAAACTACGTCTCACAGTCAAAAACACGTAGTATATCTTTTGTTATTACCTACATAATGAGAAAGAAGCCTTTAATGGGGTAGAAAGTTTACATATTTGCTCACCTGGGTTTAAAGGGAATTAGCCATTTCTCCTCAATGTTGATAATAAACGAATTTCTTTCTGTATAAAACGTCAAACAGACACGGTTGCTCCTGAGTCCAGTCAAACCTCCACTAGTTTTTCCTCCATTTTGTGGGTCCAAATAAACCGAAAAAGAGCGCTTTTACCTTCTCCCCCAGCCTCCCGCTGGTCTGCAGCAGGTATACACACACACACACACACACACACACACACACACACACACACACACACACACACACACACACACACACACACAACACACAACACACAACACACAACACACACACACACACACACACACAACACACACACACACACACACACACACACACAAGTGAAAGCTGCTCTCTCATTGGCTGCAGGCGATCGCTGATGTTATTTTCAGTCAAAACTCAATTCACACAGCGTGATTTGAATCGCCGACAGCTCCAGATATTTAGCACGCCAAATATCTTGCAGGCATCGGCGACTCATCGGCGATTCTCTCAGATTGCGTCTTTGATAGTTCATACTGTGTGATTGTCACTTACGTGCACGAGCACCGATTTGCCTGTGATTTCAGGCATTTGTCGGCGATTTCTCAAAACCTGTCTGCGAGCCAAAATCGGGGCTAAATTCACGCAGTCTGAAATAGGCATTAGTGGCCATCAGCCTGCCGTACTGAGCAGAGCAAAGATGGTTAACGTTCCGCCACGAGATGGCGGCAGAGACCACATAATAAGTCCTTATGCAAAGTTCAGCCTGCATGATTTTTAAGCCCCGATTTTGACTCGCTGACAGGTTTTGAGAAATTGCAGACAAATGCCTGAAATCACAGGCAAATCTGTGCTCATGCACGTGAGTGACAATCACACCGTTTGAACTATCAATGACGCAATCTGAGAGAACCGTCGATGAGTCGCCGATGCCTGTAAGATACTTGGCGTGCTGAATATCAGGAACTTTCAGCAATTCAAATCATGCTGTGTGAAATGAGTTTTGATTGAAAATAACATCAGCGATCGCCTACAGCCAATGAGAGCTGCATTCACTTGTGTGTGTACCTGCAGGCCAGCAGGAGGTTGAGGGAGAAGTTAAAAGCGCCAATTTTCGGTTTATTTGGACCCAAGAAATGCAATATTACACTCGTAGCAGTGCGGTATGGCATAATATCATCACTGGTAGGACAATAAGGCACACGGCCTGCGGCTTCAGGCCAACGCACGCGTTCAAGCAGAGCCGATATACAGCCATATCGCACTACTACTCTTGTGATATTGCTCATTTATTGAATTTACATTGGAAAGTTGTAGCTATTTTGGAACTGATTTGCAGTTTTGTCGTTTCCGATTGAAGCATTACACTTTACGACTTTACGACTTTATGATATACAGTGGGGGAAATAAGTATTGAACACATCAATCAAGAACATTTTTCTAAAGGTGCTGTTGACTTGAAATTCTCACCTGATGTTGGTAACAGAAGACAATCTAATTAGTTCACAAATGAAGTTATGTGTAATAAAATGAAATGACGCAAGGACAAAGTATTGTACACGTGAAGGGAGGTGTAGAAAGGCAGTGAAAGCCCAGACAGCAACTGAAATCTCTCAGTAGCTCCTCAGCAAGCCCTCTGCCCTTCCTCATTGTAAATGAACATTAGCTGCTTCAGTCCAAAATCTACATACCAGAGCGGTCATTTCAGTAACACAATGACCCTCTTACACAACCAAGGAAACTCTCAAATGCTTTCAGAGAAAGAAAATCAAGCTGTAAAAATGACCCAGCCAATCACATGACAAATCAAATAGAAAGTACAAACTAAAGCTCAGATTTGCTAGACGAGACCCACAGAACCGTCAAGATTTTAACAGTTTAACTCTGTAAAAAAAAAAAAAAAACTCACACCTGAGCAGTGCATGTGACTTCATTCTCCATATGAGAGGCGTCTTTAAGCAATACACTATATTATTTTGTTCTATAAAATTCCAGAACTAACTCTTCTTAATTATTTTACATAATATATAAATATCTGTACATTCATACTCTCAATTTCTTTTTTTTTTAATTTAGCATACTTTGAGTTTTAAAGCATGACTGATTTAAATAGCACAAACTAAAGGCAAAATAAATCAATATACTGTATTTTATTCTATTAAAAAACCAGGAACGAACTGTTCTTAATTATATTTTACATAATATATTCATATCTGTACATTTATACTCTTCTTTTTCCTTTTTTTTTCTTTAGCATATTTCGAGTTTTGAAGTCGAAGTGGCTTTCCAGAGCTTTGAAGTAATGGTCGGCTATAGACCCTCAAGACAGATCCTCCAAACGAGGGCGTTTGCTGTGGTTTGCTGAAGGAGAGGAGACTTCAGACGGATCAAAAGTAGGTCTGGGTTCATCTGGGGAATCCCTGAAACCCTGGACCTGTAGGAGATCACATATACAGACATATATACAGAGATGTGTATATATATATATATATATATATATATATATATATATATATATATATATATATATATATATATATATATATATATATATATATATATATATATATATATATATATATATATATATATATACACACACAAAACCAGTCAAACAGTTGGTATCAGTAGGATTTTAAAAAATATTTTATAAGAATGCAGTTCTGCTCACCAAGCCTGCATTTATTCTATAAAAATACATTAAAAGCTATTAAATTGTGAATTATTATATTTACAAATTTAAATAACTTTTTCTATTAAATGTTGTTTAAAATGTAATTTATTATTGTGGTTTAAGCTGGATTAGGCTAAATTAGTTTTCAGTGTCACATATTACTTCAAATATCCTAGCATCATTATGTGAAGAAACATTGAGTCCGTTTACATGGACACCAACATTAACAGAATAAACTTTTTAAAAAACATTATATACAGTCAAAATTATTATTTCTTTAACAAATATTTCCCAAAAGATTTTTAACAGAGCAAAGATTTTTCCACAGTATTTCCTGTAAAAATATTGTTCTGAGGAAAGTTTTATTTCATCTAGTATAAAAGCAGTTTTTAATTTTTTAAAAACCATTTAATGTCATTATTAGCCCCCTTAAGCAATATTTTTTCATTGCTATACAAGTACACCCCTCACAAAATCTCTTTTAAATTGATATTTTTAATAGGAAGCTATACAATATTATATTTGTGCATATACATTAGATCAGCCAAATCTGGAGCTTATCGAACAAAATAATTTACGATAATGGGCCAAAAACTAGCACACACAAATTTATGTTATAGAAAAATATTTAATACAAGTTTTAAAAAAATAGGCAAAATCAAGAGAAGCAAAAAATGTAAAAATGTTGTTGAAATTTAGTAGGTTGTATTTTTTTGGCAATATTTTGCTGAATTGTATTATCTTTCAATTTCTAAATATGTTTGGTGACTAAAATATTATATTAATAGATATATCTGTGTAATAAATCTGTTTTGTTTAAATGCACCAAAATACACTGCCATTATTCACTGAGAAATGGATAATATTATTTACTAAATTGGGTGTACTCAATTATGCTGAGCACTGTACTGTATATATACACACAAATTTGAAGGCTGAGACTTTTAGTAAGAAATGACAAAGCTTGCGATTAATAAATGTGTTCATAGTATATAGTTTCACATATTTACAACCATATGATAGTTTATTTTTATTCATGCATCAATTTTGAATGACTTGATCCATTTTGGGACTGAAGAATGAGCATCAAAACTAGATGTTTCACACATGCAGTGGATAAAGCAGTGGTCGTTTTATTTAACTTACTGTAATCTGATATTGAACTGTGGCCTCCATTTGACTTGGGGACTTGTACAAGGAGGCGAGCCTAAGCACCAGACGGAGAGATGAGAAAACCATTGAGTAACTGGTTATTTCATACTTCATGTCTGACCTCGTCTGCAAAGATTTAAAAGGCAAAAGAGTCTGAAGCAATGCAAAAATGCAGAGTCTGAACTGTACAGCCAGCGGGAAGACCTTCAGCTGTATTGCGAGAGATGTGAAAGCGCTATGGAGAAGCTCTCTGTGCCTCTGCTGCTACAGAGTAATAGACTGGCAGGTATGCAGGATGCATTATGAATAAGGTCTGGCTACAAAAGGCAAAGCAAGCTACTTGTTCAGAGTGATTCATTCCATCACCCACGGAGGTGAAGGGTAAAGAGTTTATGCAACATACTCTCGCTCGCTCTCTGCTGAAGACACATTTGGCTGAGAACACCACAGATGCTGGCTGCTATTTTCTAATGCAACATTTTGCTGTGTCAGGTTGACTGGACTTAAGAGCTAAATCCAGAAGAAGAAGAAGAAAAAAAGCCACAATAAACACCTTCCCACACAATTAGCAAATGAAAAGTGTCTGTGTTTACCTTCTCTGTCCCTCCCAGTGCAGGATGAGCCTCTGCGTCGCAGCGTGACCCCAACTCTCCCCTAAAGTGTGCATTTTAATTGTTAAAAGCAAAGGAATGCATGAATATAGTCATTATGGATATGTCTTACCTAATGCAGGAACCAGTTTTGACTGGCCATTTGAAACTCGTGTGGTCATCTGATTGGTCAAAACAACCTAGGAATACATGGCAACCCAATAGGATTATTTTGACATATACATATGGGTAGCTGACAAATAAAATAGCCTTTTGTTTTGTAAAGCGTCACTTTGAAGAATTGTTTTTATATTTATGTAGTTTGAAGTCTGATGTTTGAGGAAATATAAGGCAGGGGTGTCCAAACTTGGTCCTGGATGGCTGGTGTCATGCAAAGTTTAGCTCCAACTTCCTTCAACACACCTGCCAGGACGTTTCTAGTATATATAGTAAGACCTTTATTAGCTGGTTCAGGTGTGTTTGATTACGGTTGGAGATAAACGCTCCAGGGGCCTCCTGTATCAACGCCAGATTTCACGCTCACGTTTGGATTAACTAACGATGAAATGAACACAATGTGTGTTGGTTCACGTCAACTTCATCTCTGGTGTATGTGTATTTCTTGTGTGTGTTTGTTTTTTTCCATTGGCGACTCCTAGAGGCAATTATGTTAAATTGCACACTACATCACTTTCGCTGCTGTTTGCTGCTCTCTTAAGTTACGTTGTCTCTGTCAATCAAATGGTGATGTGTGGGAATCACTCAACTAGCTCATTCCAACAAGGTGTGCTATTTGCACTTAGCCTAAATAGACACTACAAAATTTTACACTTTTACATCGAACCATTTCTTTTTTCATTCACTCACAGTGCGATGTTCAGACCTCATTGCGTTAACCACGTCAGCTAAACTCTCCCACTCTATTTTTTTCTTTTGTTATTAATTCTGGAGGAAAAACTTGCAAATAACAGTTTTTATCCGGTCTACCTCTGAAAGGAGCACTTCCAATTCACATTCTGTTTAAAGTTTCACTTTTTGCTTGCTTTTGCCATTACTTTTTCGTTTTGTTTAGCCAAAGTGGAGTCATTACCATATTCATAAGGGGGAGTAGGCAGGGAGGGGATTTGCGCTCGAGCACATGCGCGCAGTTTCACGTCAAGTCAGATGTACAAAAACAATATGCGTGGGATTCCGTGTAAGTTTCATACATCTGAATTTTTTACAACTTTTTTTATTTTTTTATTTCAGTCTTCGTGCATGAAGCCCCTGGACACGGGCCCTCCAGGACCGAGTTTAGACACCCTTGATATAAGGGTTCAACTATATCACTTCTTTCAATTTTTTGGTACTTTTTCACTGAACCGTAACATGAATAAAACAAACAAAATCGTCTTTTAGTTCCCCAGTCCAGACTAAAATGCAACTGGGACAGATCCTTTTTTGTGGCTGTACTGCGCTTGTGGAACAATCTGCCCCATGAGATTAGAATGGCACCATCACTATCTACATTTAAATTACTTTTAAAAACGTACCTTTTCAGTCTGGCCTATTAATATCTTAATAATAGTTTTGTCGATTGTTTTTTTTCTAATTATATAACTGTTTTTTTCTTGGTTTGATTTCTATGTTTTTATAATTTTCGCTATATTTTTTACTAAATATCTTAAGTATAGCACTTTGGTCAGTTTTTAAATGTGCTTTATAAATAAATGAACTTGAATGAAACACATCCTGTTTGTGTGTGACATGGCAAAAATTAACTATTAATAATGTCCTGGAGGGCCGGTGTCCAGCTGAGTTTAGCTCCAATTTGCTTCAACACACCTGCCAGGATGTTTCTAGTATATCTAGTAAAGCTGCAGTCACACTAGAATTTGAGCTGGTGAAATTCAGTAGTACGGCGCTGTGAAAAGTGACGGGATTAAACAATAGCGATTGGTCCATGTTTTAAATTTCTGTTCAGAGAGGTCATGTTTTTATCCTCGATTGATCTCACGCAGTCAAGTGATTTCACAGGTCAGAGTTCTTGAACAAAGCTTGAACATTGCAACGCGGCGAACTGAGAAACTTGTCACATGAGGTTGCGTTTCCGGTCTGACACGATCGCGTGCGTAGGAATAAAAGTCTATGGGGAGAAAAGTGCATAAGACCTTAATTAGCTGGTTCAGGTTTGTTTGATTAGGGTTGGAGCTAAACTCTCCAGGACACTGGCCCTCCAGGACCAAGTTTGGATACCTCTGTCATAGTCCCTTTTCACATAATGTCATGCAGAGCCCAGTTTCACTCCACGCAGTTTATCTTTACTTCCCATAGAGAATTAACCAAGTCAGCTGTATATTTACTACAGATATGATTAGATTGTCACTACGGCTGCATTTTAATTATAAGATTAAAATGCAGTTTTGATAAATTATTTGTAACTTATTAATTAGGATAAAAAGTATACAGATATTAAATTAAAATCACCCAGTAGGTGGTGGCAGGACACTATATAAAGGTTTAATTCATTCATTCAAACTGAAAAAAAAAAAATTTATGTATCAGTAAATGAGAAATTATTAAATATTTCCCAGATAATATGAGAAAATCTAATAAAGAATTTTACTCATGCTGGAACATTTAAATAACAAGCAGCATCAAGGTAAAAATAAATCCATTATAGAGGAAATAAATTAAAATATTAAGTGAGAAGTTTGCAAACATATACTTTTTTGATAAACAATAACTTATTTCTATTCTTAATTACTTAATAATTTTAAAAGTCAGAAAGCAGCTCAGTATTGAAAGAGAAACATTTGGACACATGCCCATAACTGTAATAGTCTTAAATCACAATGTGCATTGTTAATATTTTCAGTTGTAAATTTTCCAGAGAAGTCTCCCATTCATTCCACGTCATTGTGAAAAGGGTCTATTGTTGGACACTTCATATGGTGCTATTTATTTTGTAATGAATAATATATTTTTGTTCTCCATGACATGTCGTACTTGTTGGACATTTTCAATAAATAGGAGTGTCACACCAAAAGAACAACAAAAATGTGAAAAATACCAAGGCTAAAACTAAACAGGTGCATCTCATGGGTTTTAGTTACAAGATCTTGAATAGGGGTCCTTCAACTAATTATATTTTTTAGTGGGATTGCCCTATTTACTAAAATAGCCACTTGTAAAATTCAGGCCGGGGGCATTTATCAATGATTTTACAATTTTACTTTTAATTTTACGATTGTATTATTATTATTTATTAGAAAATAAATATGAATATACTTATAATAAAATATTTATTATTAATTTAATATTATTTAATTATTTATATTTATAATTGATATAATTGTTTATTTTTATTTATATAAATTAGTATTAACTATTAATATAAACAAATTACATTACTTATACATTATCTAATTATTTAAATGTATTAATATTAATAAAAATTTCTAAACTTAAAGTAAAAAAGTAAGTAAATAGTAAAAGTGTATATATATGTAAAATACATTTATAATATTAATATAAATTACTTTGTGATAAATTACTTTGAAGGCAGCATGGTGGCTCAGTGGTTAGCACTGTCGCCTCACAGCAAGAAGGTTGCTGGTTCAAGTCCCGACCGTGTTCATGTAGGTCAGGCACAATGACTGTAAAAAATATGGACGACGCGACAGCCCTTTTTCCCATTGAACGCCTTGAGGGCAAAACGCCTGCTTGACGGGCACAAACTGTCGCAAAAGACTGCTGAAATTGGAGCCAGACATGCGCAGAAGGACTGTCTGATGGAGCCAGAGGAGGAGCCGTGAAAATGAGCAGAGTCGAGCTTCCAATCAAACGCTTTATGTAAAATCAACTACGCCCCCCGAACTTCTCAGCATGCGTTTGCTGTCATATCAACACAAATGGATGTAATAACGTTAACAAATATGAGGGTTTTATATATTCAATCGCGCCAGCTCCAGGCCGCAGCGCATAACTTACTCGCGGCGTCGCGGGCTGATTCCGGCTCGCATGCGGCAGCGCCTGCTCGCTCGGCCGCCGCATCTGGCTCGATTGACTCGGGCTGGAATCGGGCAGTGAGTCCAGGCATCCGGAGTAGGTCCAGCAGAGGTAACATTAGTCAGTCTAAGCTCTAAGGGATAAGTCTCCGGCAGGCGAGAATCTAGCCGGAACTGTGTTTTGCTATCTGGGTGGCTAGGCGTGTATCAGCAAACTAATAAAGCCCGAAAAAAGCCCTGAACTTAGCGAATAAACAGTGTTCCACCAGGATCATGCATGTCAGAAACTATAGTTTACTGCTGAACTCATTTTGTCATGGTAAAATAACACAGAAATCGAATAATAACATTTCAGTCTACTTCAGTCTCCTGCCGAAGCTCAGACGCTGCGCTTTGAGAAACTGTCAATCACAGCTGTCAATCACGATGACACGCCCAGCATTAAATTACTGCTAAAAACAAACTGTTTACAAAAATGAAGATCTGCACCTATTTCAGCACAATAACCAGTGCCTTAATCGACCAGAACTATCTTTCGGGACATTTTATTGCAAGTGTAATATTTTTTTTTATTTGGGCTCAAGTCTCCTTCATTAACACGGAGGAGGCGGGCTTTATGACTTGTACTGCAGCCAGCCCCCAGGGGGCGATCTAACGGCCGAAACCTTCACTCAAACGTAGGCTTGCGGCACACTTGGTCAGGCATGTCCAAACTCGGTCCTGGAGGGCCGGTGTCCTGCAAAGTTTAGTTCCAACCCCAATCAGACACACCTGGCCTAGCTAATCAAGCTCTTACTAGGCTTTCTAAAAACATCCTTGCAAGTATGTTGAGGCAAGCTGGAGCTAAAATCTGTAGGACACCGGCCCTCCAGGACCGAACTTAATTGTCCATAGTGTATGAGTGTGTGTGTGAATTAGTGTGTATGGGTGTTTCCCAATACTGGATTGTGGCTGAAAAGGCATCCACTGCATAAAACATATACTGGAATAGTTAGCAGTTCGTTCCACTGTGGCAACCTCTGAAATAGAGACTAAGTCGAAGGAAAATGAATGAATGAATGATAAATTAATCTTGTTTTAAATAGTACCGCCACTCTGTGTTGTGTAGCTAGTTGGATGAGCTGCTGGGCAAGGCCGTTCAGGAGGCGGGTCCTCTGAGAAAGATCCTCAAAGTCATGCCGGAATGGGAAGGCGATGCTGTCAATCACTACTAACCGCACCTGTGATTGGATAAGATATCAGCTATAAGCATGTAAACAGCAGTGATGTCCCTGTGCTGACAGAGATTTGTTACCTCAGGATGCTCAGACAGGAAGTCAGGTAGGAGGTAAACCTCCGCTAACAGCTCTACATAGTCATGGCAACGCACCAAGAAGAGGTTAGAGAGGATCTTCTCCACATTAAGTTCCTCCAGAGCTCCTTTCTGTTCTAAAAGGAGAGTCAAAGACAGATTATTAGGCACATTTGTATATATTTGCGTCATAATTCTAATGAAACGGGAAGGTGACGCTCATCAGTATTGTGACTTATCAGCATTGTTCCCTCCTCAAATCAGACCTGTATCCTCTGCTAGGAGGGTGCAGTGTTGAACGGCTGCCTCTGCCATATCAGCAACCCGCTGCACCAAAAAACTGCCTTCTGTGTCGATATACAGCGCCTTTCCTCCCAGACCTCCAAAACACACAGGAATCTGCACATCCACAGCCAGCTGCATGCTTTACAATGCGGGAATACAACAGCACATGAAACTACAGTAAGCTACATGTTTTCAAGGTCAAATTGAGTTTCAAGGACAATTTACTCAGTTTACTTAACCTAAAGTTTCTTAGAGTTTCTTTATTCTGTTGACCAATAAATATATATTTTGAAGAAAGCTAAAAACCTGTAGACAATTCATAGTTTTAGTTTTTTTTTTCTTCCATGAAAGTCAGGCTGTGGCTACAGGTTTTTAGCTTTCTTCAAAATATATATTTTTGGTCAACAAAATCAAATAAAATAAATCACAGGTTTGAAAGCACTTTAGAGTGAGATTCACTTTGAAACAAGTAAAGGATGACTAAATTTTCAGTTTTGAGTGAACTATCCCTATAAAATGCACCAACACAACTCATAATCCATTTCTTTTCATACCAAAGCTGAGTCTTTCCGACCCCAGGGGCCCCACAGATCTCGGTGGTCTTTCCCACAGGCACGCCTCCGCCAATAGCATCATCTAGACCAGAGCAGAAGGTCACTATGCTGCCCAGAGTTTGCTCCTGGTGCAGGAGATCCAGTGCCGTTACGCCGTCTGCTGCTGCCCTCTGCTGTTGAGGCTGAGCATCATCTCTCAACATCTGCAGCAGCTCCACTGCCTCCTCTTGAGAAATACCTGCCTCTGCAAAACAAAGTTTTAGAAGAGTATTATTTGCAAATTCTAAATGGAGAAATCATATTACTAGCCAATCAAAGTAACAGTCAAAGTACAACGTGTTATAAGTCAATTAGTGCAAATGTTGTTTTGAAGTCATACATGCGATTTCAGAGCAAATATTCAAAGTTTTCCTCAATGTTTTACTGCTGTAAATATAAATAAGTTGCCTTTGCAGAGCTGAAGAGGCCTCATGTCTGTCAGGTCTGAAGCCGCTTGGAAACCCGCATTGATGAGCTTCACCTTCACCGACGGCGCCAGAGGGAGACTCGGTACAGTCCTGTGCATTTCCAAAACTAGTGTCCACAAAGACAAAAAAACAGCCTCAAATGCAGATTAAGACCCCAGACTGTCGGTTAGTACTGATGACAGACAGTTTTAGCCAAACTAAAAGTTTTAGCCGCCTTTGGATGAATTCTTTCAAAGCTTCTGTCAGCAAGGTAACGTTAACGTAAATACAAGTTTTTACTTTTAAACGCGTACAATATAATCTTTAATGAATTGCTATACCGTGGAATATTTATGTCAAATAAAAACAAGCATAAATCATTCACTTTAAACTGATATTTCGCCATATATATATGTCTTCTTTTTGATCATCCCTCCAAAACAAGACACGACGACTCTTGTTAGGGGAAAATGCTCTTCAAAATAAAAGTCTCAGTAAGACGCCATTTATAGTTTAGTGTACGAGGACTACTGTTGGTTTCAATAGTTGGTTCTAATAATAATGTGACGAATCTATGCAAAGTCCACTGTGCACATGGAAAAGCCTTTTTTTATTTACTTTCAACAATTATCCTACTGACAGTGATATTTTACAGGATAAAACCACAAACCACAGTCCACAAACATGATTTATTCTACAAATGTTGGAGCAATATTTTACTATACATTTATTAAATATAATGCTGACATGTTATAACTTTTTTGTGTATAGTGTATTGTTAACTTATAAAATATATTTAGAGGTTTAGTTCACAAAAAGAACATTAATTCACCCTCAAATGGTACTAAATTTTCATACATTTATTTTGTTTGACACAAAAGAAAACATTTTGAAGTAAGCTAAAAACTGTAACCACTGACTTCCAATTTAGGTCAAATATTATGAAAAATAAATGGTTTCAGGTTTTCAACATTTTTGTAGTTATCTTCTTTAAAAGAATTAACAATATAACAGTAAGAAATAACAATTGTGTTTAACAGAAGAAAAAAACTCTTAAATGTTCGAAACAAATAAAGGGTTAGTAAATTATGACAAAAGTTTCTTGTTTGGGTAAACTGTCTTTTTATTATATAAAATCTAGTATAAATTAATTTTAGCCAGTTTCCAAGGAAATGGCGCATATTTCCATTTATCAATTCATTTATTTTCTTGTCGGCTTAGTCCCTTTATTAATCTGGGGTCGCCACAGTGGAATGAACCGCCAACTTATCCAGCAACTTTTTAAACAGCAGATGCCCTTCCAGTCGCAACCCATTTCTGGGATACATCCACACAGACACACTCATACACTACGGACAATTTAGCCTACCCAATTCACCTGTACCGCATGTCTTTGGACTGTGGGGGAAACCAGAGCACCCGGAGGAAATCCACGCTAACGCAGGGAGAACATGCAAACTCCGCACAGAAACGCCAACTGAGCCGAGGCTTGACCCAGCGACCTTCTTGCTGTGAGGTGACAGCACTACCTACTGCGCCACTGCCTCGCCCATATTTCCATTTAGTTAACATAATTTTCAAAAATAACAAAAGCTGTTAATGATTAGAACTAAAAACCTAATACTATATAATACAATATATAGCCATTAGAAAAATGTAAAAATGACACCAAATGTGTCTATAACTTTAAATACACAATGTAAAATATAAAAATAAAGTCATCAATATTTAGTTTTTTCTTTAAAGTTCAAGAACTTTACAGAGGAAATATCATATTTAGATTAACTTGTATCAAAATTAATGCTGCATGGGCAAAAAATAATCACGATTTATCATATGCAAAGTAATAGATTCTGACATATGTGTGTGTATTATATATGATTGTTATGTATATGTGATACACACCCAAAACAAAACTAACTAAAACAATTTGTTACATATTTAAATGTATCAATAATTTGTGTGTATGTTGACGTCGAAGTTTACATACACTATAAAAAGGCATATGACCATTTAAAAAAAAAGTCAGATGTTAATGTGAGCAAACTTTTTCACTTTTAGGTAAGTTAGGATTATCAAATTTGTTTCTGTTATGTTTATCAGCAGAATAATGAGAGAGACTTCACAGCATCTCACAACATAGATGGCATCATGAAGAAAGAACATGTAGAAATACTGAAGCAACATCTCAAGACATCAGCCAGGAAATTAAAACTTGGCCACAACTGGTTCTTCCAAACAGATCATGACCCTACGCATACTGCCAAATTAGTTAAAATGTGCTTTAAAGACAACAGAGTGTATGTTTTGGAGGGGCCATCACAAAGCCCTGATCTCAATCCTATAGAGAATTTGTGGGCAGAGTTGAAAAAGCTTGTGCGAGCAAGACAGCCAACAAATCTGACTCAGTTACACCAATTCTGTCAGGAGGAATGGGCCAAAATGTCTTCAAACTATTGTCAGAAGCTTGTGGAAGGATACCCAAAACATTTGTTATACAGTTTAAAAGCAACGCCTAAAAAATAAAAAAGGTAATGTATGTAAACTTTTGACTGTCTAGAAATTAATAAAAAAAAATCTCCAAAAAAAAAAATAAATAAATTGTAGATAATCCTAACGGACCTAAAATAGTAAACGTTTAGTATGATTTGTTTGCCTTATTTGATTCGATTCTGTTTGTTTGTAAAATTTACATTTGTCTTTTAATATTTACTTTATATATCATCGTAAATTAAGAACAGAAATCAATTTCCGACAAGAACAAAGCGAATACATCACCAATTTGTAAATTGTCTAAAGAAAACAATTTTTTGAAAGTCCGAAAACCACCATTGTAATTATAAAACGCCATGTCAAATCTAAAATGTCCCATATCTCACCCTGTACAAATCTGACGTATATTTACAAAACAAAAGTCCTCCATCAGAAGAAAAACAATGCGCATCGACATTTCACAAATCAGGTAGACATGTTATATAAACGCTCTCTAGTGGCTTAAATTACATTTAATTTTCACCATAACATTATTTAATCCGTATTTTTATGTTGACCTCATATTCCTCCTGCAAGTTAGTCTGTTGTCGCTGTTTAGAAGCGGTGTTGACAAGCTGAGTGTGTGTTTGATACAGCTGAGCTCAGATCAGCAGAAAGGCCTTTTGTTTTCACAGCTGTTGAAGCGTATTGTTGTCATGAATTGTCGGTCAGAGGTGCTGGAGGTGTCTGTGGAAGGTCGGCAGGTGGATGAAGCCATGCTGGGCCTCCTGCACACGATCCTCCTGCACCGCAGCACGGGCAAATTTCACTACAAAAAGGAGGGCACCTACTCCATTGGCACTGTGGGCACTCAGGACGTGGACTGCGACTTCATAGACTTCACTTTCGTGCGAGTGTCTTCAGACGAGCTGGACAGGGTCATCAGGAAAGCGGTGGCCGAGTTTAAGGTAATAAATTTATCACATTACTTCGGGGATGTCTGGTACTGTTGTAATGCGATCTTAGTTTATAGTTTGCTATATATTTTTATTTACTTTTTCAAAATTTCCCAAATGATGGTTAACAGAGCAAGGAATTTCTCTTAGTATTTCCTATAATTTTATTTTTACTAGATACATTTTATTTGTTTTATTTCAGCTAGAATAAAAGCAGGTTTTATTATTTTAATCCATTTAAATGTTAATATTATTAGCCCCCTTAAGCTGTATATATTTTTGATTGTCTACAGAACAAACCATCATTATACAATAACTTGCCTATTTATCCTAACCTGCCTAGTTAACCTAATTAAACTTTTAAATGTCACTTTAGGCTGAATACTAATGTTTTGAAAAATATCTAGAAAAATATTATTTACTGTTATCATGGCAACGATAAAATACATTTTGAATTTATTTGAAAGTAGTTATTAAAACTATTATGTTTAGAAATGTGTAAAAATAGAGGCTCCGTCAAACAGAAATTGATGGAAGAAATATACCGGTTGGCTAATAATTCTGACTTCAACTGTATGTGTTACTTATTTAAATATTGCACCGTGTTAACACCATTTAGACATACAGCACCTATAACTGTTACTACTTTAACTAAAATAAATTACATAAGCAACTTGAGTTATTTTATTCCACAGTGTTGGCAAATGAAAATATATATAATAAAATATAATATTATTTTAATTAATATAATTTTTATCTACAAAACTGTTATATCATTTAAATGATGTTTTATTTCAGCCAGTTGCCAAGGAAATGTTGCGTATTTTCATTTAGTCCAACTTTGGGTTAAAAAATAACAAAAGCTGGTAACGATTAGAACTAAAAACTATTAATGTATAGACATAAAAACATTAAAAAATGACTAAAATTATAACTGTAAATAAAATATAATAATGAAGTGTTGGATAATTTAATTTAAATAAATAAAAATTTGCTTCAGAACTTTGCAAAGGGAATATCATATTTATATTAACTTGTATTAAATTGATTGCCAGGCAAAAATTAATAAACTACACAAAATATAAACTTTTATTGCTACTTTAACTAAATTAAAGGAAAATATGTAAACAACTTTACTTATTTTTTCCAGTGTTGTCAGATGAAAATGAATATTTTTATTTACAAAAGTTATATCATTTAAATTACGTTTTATTTTAGCCAGTTGACAAACAAATTTTATTAATTATAATTTTGTCCAATTTAATTTTAAAATGTAACAATATAAGCTGTTAATGATTAGAACTGAAATCTATTAATACTTTATAATACAATGTATAGACAAAACATTAAAACGACAACAAAATTATTAAAATTATAACAATAAATACACAAAGTAAAATATAAAAATAGTCATCAGTAATTTAGTTTTTTTTATTTTTTATAAATACATTATGTACAGAACGTTTTGAGAAATTCAAAACTTTGCTCAGGAAATCCATTTTTAGATTAATTTGTAATAAAATTAGTGCTGAGCAAAAATTAATCACGGCTAATCACATCCAAAATAAAAGTTTGTTTTAATTTTGTGCATTATATATTTATTATATACAACACAAATTTGTTACATATATATTTAAATATATATGTTAATATAAATATGTGTGTATTAATATATATATATATATATATATATATATATATATATATATATATATATATATATATATATATATATATAATATACACAATATACACAGTACACAACACATATATTATGTCAAAACAAACTTTTATTTTGGATGCAATTTATTTGGATGAGATAATTTTTTCCCAAGCAACAAATAAATGAGCTAAAACTATTAAACTATACTAACACAAAATCAATCATTTAAAAAGTGAAAATTTGTACATATTTGTGTACTTAGTTATTTTTGCCAGTAATTTTCTCTAATATGAATTATATCTACTGACAAAAATTTACATGTACACATGAATAAAAGCTATAAAATATATAGAAAAATAAATAGAAAGTATATAACAAAACATATTCCAAAAGATTCAATACATTTCCACAATTCTTATCATAGTAAATGTACTCATTTTATAACCACACCAATGTTGTTCTTCCCAGGATGCGCTTGGCAATTCGGGCAGCGACGGCATGGGTCAGATCTCACTGGAGTTCTACCAGAAGAAGAAGTCACGCTGGCCCTTTTCAGACGAGTGCATCCCATGGGAAGTCTGGAGCATTAAGGTAAACGTGGTCAATTTGGCAAATGAACAGGAGCGTCAGATCTGCAGGGAGAAAGTTGGAGAGAAGCTCGGGGAGAAAGTCATCAACATCGTGGAGGTGATAAACCGGCACGAGTATCTCCCCAAAATGCCCACACAGTCTGAGGTAGACAACGTGTTCGATACCAGTCTGAAAGATGTCCAGCCGTACCTGTACAAGATCACGTACCAGATCACGGATTCGCTGGGCACATCAGTGAGCACCACCATGAGGAGGCTGATTAAAGACACGCTGGCCTTGTGAATAAACTCCTCCTGATTATCATCTTGTAATATAACAAAGTCACATTGCATTGCTCCTCAGTGGGATCTCGAATACATTCACTTGACTTTTCTGTATGATAATGGCATCTCTGCATCAGCTAATTGAAATATGCTTATTATTTAGTCGGATACTTTTGTTGTTGTTTTTATAATAAAGTTTAATTATGTTCTCAAAATTATATCGTCGTTTGTCATAAGTTTTGTTATCCTTATAAACTTAACTTTGAGCGCAGGACACACCAAGCCGACATTAAAGAACTAGCGGTCACAAAAAACTGTACTCTCTGGACTGAAAAGCTTGATGTAAACACACCAAACTGATGACAGTCCTGAAATGTGAGCGTAGGTTCTGTGCGTTTGTGAGAAGATGTGTTTTTCCACACCTGCAGTGGGCGGTATCTATTGTCATTCCACAAAGGGAAACCAGGGGTCCGTTCTTCATAACTCACTTAAATGATCTAAGATGATTTGACAGATCCTGGATATTTTCATCCTTGTACAGAGTTCATACACATTTTTACTACTGAAATTCCAGGATTTTTCCAGGTCTTTTCCAAAAACTTTCAGACATTTTTTGCCATTTCTGGCAGAATTTTGTTAAAAATCTGCGGATGTATGCGTTATGATTTTGGGAGTAATATAACTAAAATCTTAAAATATTTAATAAAAAGTAATACCTTTTTAACTTGTATTTAATGTTTACAACACAAATCCAATTACTAATTAATAATAATTAATATTACTTTACAAACTGTATTGTAAATAAATCAAATGAACATGTTCATATTAGTCAATAATAATACGAAAATGTATTTAAACGCTGAATAAATATAAATTTACACAAGTAAATACACAGAATCAATGATTGGCTAAAAGTCAGCAGAATTCTGCGGTGCAGATTCAGTGTGGGCCTACCCACCGGACACAGTGTAAATAGATATTAGTAGCCTGACCGAAAAAACAGTAGCCCCGGGACTTCGGGCTACCAGATTTTGTGAGGCCTGTAAGGAAACACTGTTTGTCTGTGCTCATTTGTTCCTGTAGTCCAGCATTGTTGCTGTTGTTTTGTCAAACACTTCCCCATGACTATTGACAGCATATAATATGCATTTGCATTATGCCATTTTAACAAAATCACATTTGGTAGTTTACATAAGATGTAAATTGTTTAATACATACATTTAAAAACTTGCACTTTTTAAGGCTTTTTTTGACCGTTCATTTACATGACAATACTGTTTTTGTTGAGGGCCTGAAAATGCAGTTTTAGAAAACAAGAACACAACAAAGCAACACAAATGTGAGTTTGTGAAAACTGTCATCATGCATGTCTGTTACGAGTTCATTTTGCTTAGTGAAGTTTATTCATAAACTAATTTCGAGAGGAGCACGTGATTATGATTGAACACAGCTGGTTCTGCATTAGCATGCTTGATCCACCAATCAGGCCATTCCTAACCACTATAAAGAGCCAGGGTTTTTTCAATACAGTCATCTTCGATTTGAAGAATCCCCCCTTCCACCACTACCTCTTCACCTGTCCTTCCATAGGGCAGCACGGTGGCCCAGTGATTAGCACTGTCGCCTCACAGCAAGAACGTCACCGGTTCTAGTCCTTTAACAGGCTGGTGGTCGTTTCTGTGTGTAGTTTGCATGTTCCTCCCGTGCTTGCGTGGGTTTTCCCCGGGTCCTCCGGTTTCCTCCCACATTCCAAAAACATGCACAACAAGTGAATTGATCAATCTAAATTTTGCACTACAGTTAATCTCTCACCATGCAGCATATCTTTCATAGCATTCAATTTTTAGTTATCAGTTTTTATCAAGAGGGAATTGTCGAGATCTACCTGAGCTCAAGGCTCCCCTCTCGCCCTTCAAATGGGAGGCAGCCCAGGGCTCAAGAACCTTTGAGCTCAGGGCTCTCCCCCGGGACAGCATGCCAAACTTGCTTATAATCAATCATCAGCTAAGTGTGAACTCTTGAAAATCTGTTTATTTTACTAGCAAAATTTTTTTATACACTAATGCAAACTTTTTTCTGTAAAGCCCCTTTTGCTTATTTTTTGTAAAGATTTGAAATATTATTTAAATACCATCTCTACCTCCAGCGATGTTAAAGCTTTAAAATCATTAACACTATGTGAATCCTACAGTATTGTCTCTTTTTTATAATACCCAGAGGACTATATTGTATGTGATTTTGTAAACATTACTGTGACCTCGCTTTAAGATAGATTCAAAGTTATTTTTGTAATTCATATTTCCCCTGACATAATCTTTTTTTTCTCTTTTTGTTTTGTTCCGTTGTCTACTTTTGTTGTTATAGGATTTGCACCTTTTCTGTAGATTTTTGTATCCTTGTTAAACGTTCCAATAAATGTATTTTTTAAAATAAATAAATAAATAAAAATGTCAGATCTCCTGAAAAGTGAAGCCAAAACATTTCGATCACCCCCTGGTGGTGGCTGTAGGATATATCACTAACCCCTCCTCTTAAACAAATGGTTTGTGAGCCAAATCGAATTTAAAAATAAATAATAAAACATGCACAAACTTTTACTAAAAACAGTTAAGTGTTTGTTAAAACATATATGCAACATGCCAGATTTCGATACACAACCACAATCTATGCTTGATGAATGTTGCACTATATCCCCATATAAAAATACATTTATCTCTAATATATATAACAAATTACAAACAATACCCCATAATATTGTATAATATATATATGCTCAATAATAATAATAAAAAACATATATGCATGTTCATAGTATTACTAAGCAGGTTAATCATTTGATTCTCTAAAAACTTGGTGTGGTGTCATGTGCTTAAGTCAGCCTGGTTCCTGCTCCAAATGACGTCAGATTGCCACACTTGTGGTTTTATTCATTTGAGATTGTGTGTGTGGGCGACCGTAAGAGCACAAGACACCAAACTGCAGTGCCCATAACGGCCACTAAATCCACACAGAGCAGTAGTTGAGGTGAAGCCCATTTAGACATGCATCACATTCGGGAACCTACATGTCTCAAAAATCAAAAGATGTGAAGGCAAACAATACACTGTAAGTTACATTACTCGGAGTTGACATACTTTGGGGTTATATATAATAATTTGAAGCACCACAGTTGCTTTACTGGGTCATAAATTATAGCAACTGCTGAGGATATATTTAGAGGTTTATTTTATTGCAAAGTACACTAAAACCATGCCCCATCGAGTAATGAAAAGTTCTACACATACTTATATGTTATTTATTTAGACAAGTGTCAGTGTTTAGTAGGGGTGTAACGAAGTGCAACCCACAGTTCAGAACGCGCATGACCAGCGAATTAATACATTTTACTCGTAGATTAATACTTAATTTGTAACGATCACAGAGAGATTTTCTCTAGCGTCGTTCAAATCACATGTGAAAGCATTTAGGCTTTACTGAAAAATATGACAGAAGAAGTTGTGGTAGGTTATTCAGGATGTGGTGGGTTTCTTAGGCTATTAAAGGTGTTTTCTGTCACTACTTGTAAGCTGAACAATTAATCATTTAAAGTTCAGGATCGTAACACCCACGCAACAAATGATAAATGATGGTGATTTGCAGATGTTTATTAATCCTACAAATCGATGCGTTCAAATCTGTGTTTGAAAAACTCAAAAACCTGGAAACAGATTCAATCTTTAGTCTTTTGAGTTGGTAATGAAGTTACAAACAGTCAAATAACAATGAAGTATTGGGATAACAGTCTATAGTTTAGATATAACCACTGATGTTTATGGTAAAGATTAAATTCAGCGTCATATGCATTTAACGACGCTCAAAAATAAAAGTTGTAGGCAGCAAATTACATTATTTAACCAGTAGGTAGCGACAACCAGTCATCAAAAATACGCCACTGAATAATTGTTCAAAAATGACACATCTAGCAATGAAACATGAAGTTTTATGATTGAAAACGAGACTAAAATAAATATGGGTTGTACAAATTATATTGTTAGATTTATACATAATCAGCAACAGTAGTAGTAATAGTGATTTTTTTTACATTACTGAATATATTACTGTTTATTTTTATTAAGCTGATTATTAAATTTATTTGTAATAAAATTACAAGTTATTGTAATAAATGGAAAGCAAATTACATTTGTCTGCTCCTCTTTTTTGCTCATCCGAAAAATGGTCCGATCTGTAAATGAAAAACCACAATGTGATCTAAAGCGTGAGATTTGTGATCCGTTACACTAGTTTTTAGACTGGTTTCCCCACTCCCATTAAAAATATTTTTCACACAATTGATAAGCTTAAACAACAAAATAAAAGACTATCTAACCAGACTATCTGATCATTTTGTAATTAACACCAAGTCCAAATCATGGTTGATAAAAAACAGATACCATTTCATTTGCACAGTATTGATATTTATTTTTAGAAAGCAAGCACGGAAAACAGTAGAAAATGCTTTAACACAAAAACTGATACAGTTTTTAAAGCCACGTTAGAACAATTCAAGTGCTTACAAATATTAGTTATTGCAGTGATACCACAGGAATACCAAAAGATATACTTTTTCATAAAACAGAGCAAATGTTGTACAAACGAAGACCATAAAAATGTATTTTGAGGATTAAATGTTCCGTTCTGTCATCACCGTTATTCATTCAACGTCATACAATCTTTCAGTTAAAGTTATTTTATCATCAGGACACTCGTTTAACCTTAACAAAAAGCTGATAGCGTCGTAATACTGGGGACGAAAGTAACTGCAAACTAAAGTATTACAATCCTGAGAAGTAGCCAAGTCAGAAGTTTATCAATACCTTTTTTTTTTGGGTGGGGGATTAGGAAGGAATGTATTACTGCTTTATTCATCTTAATATAGATTAAATGACTGTAGCTGATGGAAAATGCAAAGAGCAAGCAACATAATTTTGTGCTCAACAAAGGCCACAAGCTTGCCAAGCCAAACATCCCCTAATGTAAGGGAAGAAGACTTTTACTTAATTCGTTAATAGTTGCTAAATATATACCAAGAAATAAGATTGTTGCTTTTGTGCTTTCATATTTTAGAATAAAGACCTTCTCTGGGTCATACCGTCACAGAAAAGCTCGACCGCACATCAGGAATGTCCAACCATTCAACATTGCATCAAGACTTCATTAATCACTGAGTACTGAGTTCTGG